AATATAGTTTTTAAACTCACCCAAAGGTACAATATTCAATGCCCATTTTCCTATCTTTCCCACACCTCTGGAAAATCATGTTTAAAGAAAACATTTGAGGAGTCTCTGGGTGGCTCAGTCGGTTAAACATCTGACTTGATTTCAGCTCAGGTCTTGATCTCAGGGTCACGAGTTCGGGCCCCACATTGGACTCCGTGTTGGGCATGGAGCCTACTTAAAAAACAAAAAACAGGGGCGCCTGCGTGGCTCAATGTGTTGGAGCCTCTGCCTTTGGCTTGGGTCGTGATCCCAGGGTCCTGGGATCGAGCCCTGCATCGGGCTCTTTGCTCAGCAGGGAGCCTGCTTCCCTTCCTCTCTCTGCTTGCCTCTCTGCCTACTTGTGATCTCTGTCAAATAGATAAATAAAAAATCTTTAAAAAAAAAAAATCTGGTCAACCACAAGGTATATTGCTGTGAAAGCCCAAACCCCTGAGGACAAAGACCCCAGAAACTCCCTCCAGAAGGGAAAACAAAGGTTATGTCAAAAGGATGAAGAATCAGAAAACCAGAATGGCTTTAGACCTGTCCACAGTAACCTAGGAAACTAGAACCTGTTGGAGCAGCCCCTTGAAAATTCTGAGGAAGCCTTCCAGCCTGGAGTTCTACACTCAGCCAAACCACCAATCAGGTGTGAGGGAAAAATAAAGATAATTTCCAACTTGCGTGTTCTCCAATAAACAATTGTGCTTTCATGTACTTTTTCAGAAGACAGGGCTCTGAAATTAAGAAGATAGTTAAGGAAGTACACCAAGAAATAGGCGGCTACAGAATCCAAAAAGCAGGTGATACTACATAAGAGAGAGGGGGAGATGCCTCATGGGGGAAGGTGTAAGTAGATCTCTGGTCACAGAGCCTACAGAGCACCCGGGCCCTCAGACTGACTCTCCAGAAGAGAGAACCTCTGAGAAGAAGGACCTAATAGCATTCCAGATGTATTTGGCCCGCTCAAAAGGAGACTTCCACAACTGGGGAAAGTGTTCAGAGGTGAATCAGGATTAAGTATGTAGAAAACAGAGAAGCTGAACCACATAGCTACAGGAAAGCAGGTTGTAAAAACAAAACCAAAAAAAAAAAAAAAATGGAGACTGATCTTAAGAGACGTCATGACTCAGCTGTGAATGGTCATAATTGTGTTGACACCGATGATTGGTCACACAGACATTGTGACACAATAGTCCTGGGGCACAGGAAAGTATGCGCGCGTGTGATGGTGGGGATTAGGCAAGCAGAATGTGAACCCTCTTGGTTTTGGTGGGAACTCAGTGAATAATGCCTAGAACGGAAGAAAAACAAGACGTAAAGAGAGAAGCATGTTGCATACAGAAGAGGTAATTACTAAAAGCAACAGCTCAGCTACTGGAGATAGGTTGATTCTCACTACAAAAGTGGAAGGGGACAGCCGGGGGACTGTTGTGTTTTTGTAATAAGCCTTGTAGAACTGGTGACTCTTTAAATTCTGTGCATGTTTAAAAAGTTAAACTTTAAAAGGGGGAAAGGGAGGGGAGAATTCAAATGAAGGAAAGAAAATGGTAAGTAAGTTGAGTTACATGTCCTATTATAAGGGAGCTCAAAAAAGAATACTCCCAAATTAATACAAAACAAGGTATTGAGATTCATGTCAAGTGTAATTTCCTAAAACAGATCATTAAAGAGAGAAAGTTGTGGACTTTTATGTTCCTCTCCTTTTTCCTTTCCAGATACCCTCACACCTGACCAGATGATTGTGTTTATCTGCTCTAAACCAGAGGTTATAGGAGACCTCAAATTGGCATTGGCTTTTGCCTGAATAGGAGGACTGGACAGTGGGGGCCAAGTTGGAGCTCATTGTCTCCCCTAGGCTCTTTTTAAAAAATGTATCTATTTGAGAGACAACAGAGAGGGGGAGAGCAGAGAAAGAGGGAGAGAGAATCCCAAGCAGACTTCCTGCTGAGCATGGATCCCAACACAGGGCTCGATCTCATGACCATGAGATCAAGACCTGAGCTGAAATCCAAGTCAGACACTCAACCAACTGAGCCCTCTGGGTCCCCTTGGCCTAAGTTCTTGATTGTCCAGCTGTGTGTCTGGCTTCTCTCTGCTTCTCATCTGATTCTTAGAACATCTTATGTCTAGCTATCATGTATCCCCCTCTTCGGTTGGCTTCCTGGTCCAAGCTCATCTGTCCGTGGGCCTGGTTTCGACTCATTTCTTACCCTGACCTTGCTGTCTCCAGCCCCTGCCCTATCCCTTTCCTCAGCCTAATTCTTAATTCCTGGCCCCCACCTCTTCATGAAAACTTGGCTCAAACCACTTTGAAAAACCAAGGCAAATGGAACTGCCTGGGAAGAATTTGGAGAATCTGCTGCCTTGTTCTTCATTCTTGAGAGCCAGGATAGCAGCTGAGGGCGCATGTGGGAAGAAGCACGTGCGTGTGTTTTGGGAGAGGAGGGGACAGCCATCTCAGCCCCGTCCTTCTCCCTGGGAATGCTATCGTGTATATTTCCGACATCCTGGTGCATTCTTTCATTGATACGTTCTCCTGTTTCTCTTAGAAACGGTTCTCAAATTTTAACCTAGCTTCCGTGCATGAGCTGTGTTTTGGTCTCTTAAGAGGCTGTGAGCAGACTCCACAGTCCGTGGTGATTTTACACAAAGTGACATCTGATTTGCTTTTAGACTGCATTCCATACCAATCAGCCCAGCCCTGCGGTTTGTGGACTAACTCCTGTTGTCTCTCAACATATGGAGTGCTATTAGATAGTGTGAGTTGGAGTCTTGTCAGGGAGGCTGATTAAGCCACAGTCGGGGACAGTCGTCCTAAGTGTGAAATGTAACAGGCCCTCCGAAACGGCGCTGGGAGCCTCTGGAGGTGGTTGGTGCCTCTCTGTTGGGGCATCGGGAGGTTTGCAAACAAAGCAAACACATTTTTTTTTCCCTAGCATGGGCTAGGTCTATGGCAGTAACATTTGGCAAGTTGAGTGACAGGGAACATAGATAACTGTGAACAGATGGACAACTATTAAAAGATTTGAGGGGCTTTTATCATCTCTCAAATGGCCTTCACCCACCTACAGGATACCCAGTTCCCTTGCAAGATTACGTAAAGGGCTCAATTAAATTTCTTCTTCCCTTTTTTTCTTCTTCAATTGCAATAGAAGCAAAAGTTCTGACGTTAAGAGGAAAAGAATAGATGAGAAACTTCTAATTTTGAATCCCCTTGGGATTAGATGCTGATCTCAGCTGTGCAGAGAATACTGCCCCATATTTTGAAAGAGTAGCTGCTGGCAGTTTTAGAGATGACTTCCAAAATAGACAGTGAACTCCCCCATCCGTATCTGATGACCGTCTGACATTTAGATGCAGAGTAACAGAGCTATCCACGTTTTTTGAGGAGTATAACCTTGTTTTTAAATATGGCCATGGCAAGTCGTTATGTTTAAGCTCAAAACTAGTTAAATACAAAATGCAAAAAAAAAAAAAATATGCATTACCTGGTTCCTTGCAGAAATAAGAAATGTTGCATGTCTTAGAGCAATAATATTTACCCACCCTCTGGGGCAGCACTGTCTCTGATATGGGAGCATGCCAGTCCTCTTTGGCTCAAGATGATGCTTGGAAAGTTTGCAAGAGTGAGATCGACAAACACTGATTAAGATGAGGCATGTTTTACTCTCTCTGGGGCAGGAGGCTGATTTTGCCAAAAATAGTCATAGGGTGGTACAGTGGGAGCTGTGGTACCTCCATGTTGGATCTCATGAGCCCGGCCAAATTAGATTGGGTTCCATTCCTCAGGGGTCACCTTCCTAGCATTACGTTATAGGGCCAACAAATTTCAAGGTACTGGGGCACCTGGGTGGCTCAGTGGGCTAAGCCTCTGATTTCGGCTCAGGTCATGATCTCAGGGTCCTGGCATCGAGCCCTGCATCGGGCTCTCTGCTCAGCAGGGAGCCTGCTTCCCCTACCACCTGCCTCCCTCTCTGTCTACTTGTGATCTCTGTCAAATAAATAAATCTTTAAAAAAAAATTTCAAGGTACTACCTGTGTACACTCAGTGTAGCTCTTGAAGGAGTGTTTGGAAGCAGGAAGGATAGATACCCAACCCCACTTTTATCCAATGTCCATTCCCTTACTCAGTGTCAAACCCAGTTGCTCCCAGCTGAGACTGCTGGGTCACTGAAGCTCCCTATCTCCAGAAACCACCCCCCGCCCCCAGACCTAAATTTTGTCCAAAAACAACCCACAGCAAAAGGAAATAAACATTCTTGATATTTTAATTTAAAATCTCCACCCTTCAGAATAATTGTAATCTGAAATAATCCAGCAACAGAAATGCTAAAGGTAGTGATAAGTAGAAAACAGGTAGCTCCTGGAGGTAAAAACCCATTTGCCTGCTAAACAATGCAATTTTATAAACTCATAGTTCCACGCTGGGCTGGTTAACTTAAGGTGTAATTGAGTAAATAAACAACAATTATCAGTAGGTTTAGTATCCCCTGGAGAGTTATACTTGCACAGAAAGAGTCATTGGAAGTAGTTAAAATATGTTCCTACCATTTAGTAGGATAAAAGTTGGCAACATTAACCGTGAGATACATGTTCACAGGCTTTTAAGTATATGCTAGACATAGATTGTATCATAGCACAGGAAGCATCCAACCAGACACTTGTTAATGGCGTAGGGAGTGAATTTCTTGTGCATTGCATATGGGGCTTATAAATGCCATTGAATTGAATGAATAATAAGAATATTTTCATTGAATTGAAAATAGGATCAATATACTTTGTGGGGTTTTTTTGTTCCAAGTTCTATGTTTTTTGGAATTTCACCTGTTTTCCTGCTATGTAGAAATACTGTCTAGGTAATTAAAGCCATTCCGAGCAATTTTTATTTTCCTTCTTGCTGCTGTTAAGTTTACTGGCATTGGCTTGCTAATCCTCCCTGACATTCACACGGACTCCGGTTTGCTCCTGTGTTTTTCTAGAATGGCAGAGATGCAGGCACTGATGGAGAGGCTGGAGCGGGTGGTCGGCCGACTGGAGCTGCTGTCTGCGGGGTCCCACCGGCCTCCTGGGGACTGCGGGGAGATTAATGGTGTCATTGGAGGTAGGGACACAAACTGTTGTCATTACTGGTCTCCGTGAGGGTCGTTTAATGTTGTCCCCATCACTTAGTGCTCGAGAAATATTTTTGTCGACTTCCTTCAGCTTCTGTACCCTTCCCTTATATGTGACCATGACATTAACCAGATGTAAGCCATCCCTGAAAAAGGGAAAGGCAGAATGTTCCAACCCACAATCCACAAAAATTAACCGGTTATCTGTGCCTATTAAGAGCATGATCTATATGCCAAATGTCATTTTTCTTTTGTTTTAGTGTTTATAATGTTCCGCATTCCATAGTGACTATAAATATATTATCTGAGTAATTATCAAAGAGAAATTAACGTTCTCAATTACAGCGTCAATGGGAAGGAATTATCATTCTGTCGATTTTAATTTTAAAGAGAACAAGTCATTAAATTTAAGAACTATAATTGGGAAGGAAAGGAGTCTGAGGTGAAGGCAAACATTGGTTTCAGGTAACATGATTACATCGCACTGTTTTACTTGTGCTTATTTCTAATCAAATGTGCCTTTAACCTTATGTGCCAATGCCACATTTGAAAAAGAAGATTTAAAAATATTATATGATCAAACATAAAAAGTTAACTACATAACATAAGAGGTTAACTATAAGGACACCATATATGGCAAACTCTCTAAGTTATTCACAGTCATTTTTTCAGTTCCTTCTTGTCTGAGGTCATAGACTTAGCAAAATAAAAATACAGGACACCCAGTTACATTTGAATTTTAGATGAACTACTTTTTTTTTTTTTTTTTTGGCATAAGTGTGTTCCAAATACTGCATGGGATATACTGCATGGTTACACACTTATCCTAAAAATGTATTCATTGTTTATTTGAAATTCAAATGTAACTGGGGGTTCTGCATTTCATCTGGCAGCTCTATTCTTGTGTCAAGTACATTTCCTCCTTATCTGACCCATTTTGAATCCTATCAGGCTTTGGGGGCTGGGAAAAGCCTTGGGGAATGGGGGCTTCAAAAAAAAAGCTTTCACCAGGCACGGTTCACATTGGTGCTTCTAGAATTTCAGGCATATTTGGAACCTTGCCTTGTGTTGTACGCCTTGGGACAACAATGACTGTGTGAGCACAAATGTACAGGCTGGTCTCCTCCCCACCCCACCCCCCGAACAGAATGAAAATTAAAATGCTTTGAATGAGTTGAAAGGGGGTGTTGTTTAAAGGGAGGCTGCCAGGGGCCTGCAAGTTTCTTCCACATCAACTGAGATACATCTATGATTTCATTTTAAGCCTCTTTTTGTTAATGGTATGGTTGGTATACGAGATCCAGTCAACCTCCTTTGTAAGAAAATATTTTCATGTTCACTTCAGTAACTTGGTTTCCTTATGTCTTTGACATAAGTGACCAAAAGACATTTCTTTACAAGTGCTGACCACAAATGTAGAGCCTGTGAATGCAGAAAATAAAGTTAAACTCCAACTCTCAGGAGACCGTGTCATGTTGTTGAATGAAGGGGGAGAGAAATCCCTCTGTAGTTTGAACCTCACGTGACTTAAAGAGGTGCTGGGCTGCACTTTGTATTCTCTTTGTTAAAGAAATAATTTTGGGGGGAAATTAATAGGTCAACAAAATCGGAAGGCAGGTAATTAAATTACTTAGGTATTTAAACAGGTACGTTCTGATACAGCAAATCATTCTAAACCATTTATTAAAGTTAGGTGTTTCAAAACAACTTAGCCAGTAATTTATTATCCTGCTTGAAATGGAGTAGGGTCATTGGGAAGAAGGATAAGTAGCGAAATACCTGGAAGATACCCGTCCTTTAAAGTTCGCTCATCCTCAGCAGCGCTGGTTTCATTTCTTCTTAATTTCATGAGCCTTGATGATCTCCTAAACTCTGTTTTTAACAAATCCTTGAGGACAACCTCTTGCTTTAAACATAAACATCATTATAACAGTGATATTGTAACTAAAGTTTAGGGAAACATTTGAAGGTAAAAAGAAACTTTTAGATGAAATCCCATCCACTACACATCTGTAATATGCACAGATCCAAGGACTGCCTTTGCATGAGCCTGGGGCTCTGTTGGGTTTTACGATGTGTTTTCTTTCTTTTTTTCCCCCTGACAATCAGGTAAGTTTGGTTCAACCGCTGAAGAAGTATTTCTGCATGCCCGCCAAGTGACAGGTACTATGTGTTATGTGCGAGGAAATCTTAAGATGAATTACATACAGTCCAAATCCTCCAGACTCTAGTCTCTGTGCATTGCCATTCATGGCCACAGATGCTTTGATTAAGGAGCTCACAAGGTGCATGTTGTGGGGAAAGACAGGTTGTTAAAGGCTGCCCAGAGGAGGTATGAACAGAGCCGAGTGATAAAAGGAAATTGGAAAATAGTCCCTTTTATCACCATTCCTTCTGCTAGGTAGAGTGCTTTGTCTTGTTCCTAAAACTCTCCCACTTTAGACACATAGCAGAGTCCTCTGAGGCGTCTCCCCCAGCAACAAGTGGGTTGATCTGTTTCCAGATGGATCCATAAGGAATCTTTGGGCATATCTCCCCTTTTATGTTCAGTAGTGGACAACGCACTATATTGTGAACATTAAGGTAACTCAGCTTCAATAACCTGCTTAGAAGTCAGATTGTAGGTGCATAGCGCTGTCGAAAGCTGTTTTCATCACCCTCTGGGCCTGTGGAAATGGGCCTCTGGGAAAGCAAGGGAGCTTTATCCTACACCTTTATGAGGAGGGATACTTCAGTAGAGTATGAGAAGGGAATCTTAGGTTTTGGTTTGGATATTTTTTTAAGATTTTACTTATTTATTTACTTACTTACTTACTTGAAAGAGAGAGAGAGAGAGCATGAGTGGGGGGCAGAGCAGAGGGAGAGGGAGAACCAGACTGCCCACTGAGCAGGGAGCCTGATGCAGAGCTCCATTCCAGGACCCCAGGATCATGAAATGAGCTGAAGTCAGATGCTTAACTGACTGAGCCACCTGGGCACCCCTGGTTTGAATTTTAATTGTCTGTGGGATTGAGTTTCTCAATATTAGGGTCCTGAAATCTTGGACTAAGACACAGTTTTTCTGTCAGTTTAAAGGCAGGAGAAGAGAAGCAGAGCATGCCAGGTTGGGCTGATGTCACTTGGTTTTGACAATAAGTTGTCAGATTAAAACTTAATGTGAGGGGTTCCTGGGTGGCTCAGTGGGTTATAGCCTCTGCCTTTGGCTCAGGTCATGATCCCAGGGTCCTGGGATAGAGCCCCGCATTGGGCTCTCTGCTCCACAGGGAGCCTGCTTCCCTTCCTCTCTCTCTGCCTACCTCTCTGCCTACTTGTGATCTCTGTCTGTCAAATAAATAAAATCTTAAAAAACAAAAAAAAAAGGAGAAAAAAAAAAAACTTAATGTGAGTTAGCTCAGCAGTCCTTTCCATGCCTCCAACTCCACTTCCTACCCCCCAGAAAGTGAGGACAGGGCAGAACAGAACATGTGACACTGGTGTTCTTTTCCCATTTATTTGCCCAGAGTTTGTTATTGCCTTTTAATTGTCCTGGGCGATCTTGGTAACTGTTTGCAAGGTCGTATCAATAAGGCTTGTGTCAGTTCTTGGATCTGCCGTTCAGTTTGACCTATAGCTTTGATCAAGTCATGTGCCCTGATTGCATCTCCATTTCTTCATTGGTAAAAGTGTGATGCTACTTACCTTATGAGTTTGAGGCAGAAATAAATTAGTTTGTAAGTGAAAGTGCTTACTCAAGTGGATGAAAAATAGCAGAGCATTGTTTTCCTGAGACTTGAGCCGTTGAGAAATGTTTCCTAAATACTGAGTGAATGAATGCCCTGGTGAAAAGAATGAGAACGACATGAGTGATATTAAGCTTCCATAGTTCCTATGGCAAAGCAATACTAGCTTTTCTTGAAACTCTTGGGACCTGACAAATGTGCTTCTTCCAAAGGTGTGGCACCCTCGGTGGAAGCCTTTGATAAGCTGATGAACAGCATGGTGGCTGAGTTTTTAAAGAAGAGTAGGATCCTTGCTGGTGATGTGGAGACTCACGTGAGTACTTTCCTGTCTTGTTGTCTGTGGAGAAGATGACTACTATTAAAAAAACCCAAAATGACAGAGGCGGGTGAGGATATGGGGAGACTGGGACCCTGGTGCACTGCTGGTGGGAATGTAAAATGGTGCAACCAGGATGGAATTCCTGCAATCCCACTTCTGGGCATAGACCCAGAGAATTGAAAGCAAGATCTCGAAGAGGTGTCTGTACACCCAAGTTCACAGCAGCATTGTTCGAAATAGCCAAGAGGTGGAAGCTACCTGAGTGTCTGTCAGTGGAGAAAGGGTAAACACAATGTGGTCTATACGTACAAGGGAATATTATTCAGCTTTGAAAAGGAAGGAAATTCTGACATGTGCTACAATGTGGATATACCGAGGATGTTATGCTCAGTGAAATAAGCCAGTCGCAGGAGGACAAATGCTGTATGATTCTACTTCTATGAGGTATCTATGATCTCATTTATTTGAGCTATCTGAGTAGTCAAACTCATAAGTGCAGAAAGTAGAATGTGTGGCTCCTCGGGGTTGGGGGAAGGGAGAAATGGGAATTTGTTTCATGGGGACAGGGTTTTCGTTTTGCAGTGAAAACTAAACTCCAGAAAAAGTTCTGGAGATCTGTTGTGAAACAGCATGAATATACATAACGCTACTGAACTATATGTTTAAAAATGGTTAAGATGGAAGATTTTGTATTATGTGTGTTTACCACAGTGGAAAAGTGCAGCCTGAGGAAAGGCAAAGCCATAGAATTTTAAAATCTTTGGATTGGGAAAGACCTATAATGATCTCTCGGCCATCCTCCCAGTTGTAGACATTTCTTTTTTACATTTAAAATGTTTAGCATCATCCTTGAGAGCAGTCATTATTTGCATGCATTGAGTGAAAATCCAATGTAATAGCCAAACCAATTAGAAACCTAAAAGAAATCTATCACCAGGTTCTTCTTTTTTATTTGCCTTTGTTTCTCACAGAGGATTAAATTCCAAATCCATCTGCTTATGGATTTCTCAGCAATGGCAAAACCATTTTCAGTGTAGATTCACAGAAAATCTGATTCTTGAATAAAGCTGTGGTTTGCAGTAAAAGGAAAAAAAAAGAAAAACATAAAAAGGGACTCTCTCTTACTTGTCCCCCAATTAGACATTACCTGCAACACCCAACACCAGTCTTCCACACAATCTGGTGACTCAGGTTATACCAGAGTTTCCAGAATTGTAATTAATAGGTGCTTCTCTCATCACATTTGCAATGCATTTGTTCATCACATCTGAGAAAAATGAAGATTCTCCTCATGACCTCCGTTTTTATTAAATATACCTATTGAAATGCCATTGGCAAAAGAGGGGAAGCTCTGAGGTACATGAGTTCTAGAAAAGTCTGCATAATAAGACGTGTTCGCTTCAAATGTGTCATAGAGCTCAGTACTTGCTCTGGCCTGCTCTCAAGCTTTAATGGGTTTGTTCGTAGGAAACGGTGTACACAGTAAGATAGTGGCTAAGCTGCTTCTGTTCTGAGGAGTGATGGTACCTGAAAACCACACATAAAATGGACTATTGCTGCCAATACACTAAAAGAGATTCTCGAGTGATTGACAGACCTTTATTGTCTTGAACTCTATTACAATTGGGTCATTATTGTCACTATTTTTTTAAGATCTTATTTGTTTGTTATTTTTTTTTTTAAGATCTTATTTATTTATGTATTTGAAAAGAAAGAGCATGAGCGGGAGGGGCAGAGGCAGAGGGAAATGGCGGATCCCAAGCTGACTGTACCAAGCGTGGAGCCCAACACAGGGTTCAGTCCCACGACCCCGAGATCATGACCTGAGCCAAAATCAAGAGTCAGCCACTTAACCAACTGCACCACCCAGGTGCCCCTCATTATTATTACTATTCATTCACATTGACATCGTGTTTCTGAGATAGAGTACATTATAACTCTCATTAGTAATAGCTCACAGAACCATGTAGAGAAGTGTTTTACTAAAGAATAAAGAGGCCTATTAATAGATATATTTAATTTTGCATTAGAAAACATGTAGAGTTTGCATACTAAGTAAGTCTCTCCAAATTCCATAGTAAACAGTTCCTTTCAATTCCTTTCAGAACAAAGCAAGTTATAAATAAAGCATAGCTTCATTCATATTAAGCTTTTTCTTCTCTTCACTCATCAGCCTGAAAATAGTATGACTCAGTTGGACTGTTCTCGATAACGGATGCAAAATGATTAAAAAAATTGTTTTTCACTAGTGGGTTTTTTTAAAGTGAAAGAAGGAATGTAAGGAGAGAAAGAAGGAAAGCAAAAAGAGGGAGAGAGAGGAGGAAAAGAAAGAGGAGAGGGGAGGGGAGAAGAGAGGAAAGGAAGAAAAAAGAGAAAAGAAAAGGAAGAAGGGAAGGGAGGGAGGAGGGAAGGAAGGAAGGAAGGAAGGAAGGGAAAAAAGCTTGTCATCCAAAAGTTTAGACTCTGATTCTACAACACAAAGAGAGCACAGGCAGCCATCGTCCATCTGCCCATGACTTTCATACATTGAGCAAGTGGTTTATTTTTTCTCTCTTATGGAACCATGTGTCATTGACGTTAAGCTTGCAGCTGCTGCCTCTCACATAAGCCAGAAGTGGGGGGTTGAACTTTGTTCCAAGAACACACCTGTTGCCTAGAAAAGAAAAAAAAAAAAAAAAACCCTCACATACCTGATTGTACAGTATGGAAATTTGAGAATGACACAAATGTGCGTCACGCTAAATCCTAGCCCTGTGTTTAAAAGCTATCCCACAGATACTAATGATGAATAAGGGCAGCCGAGCTATGATTTAACGTCTGCTTCGATGTGTTGGCTGCTGGTTGGGCTTAATTTACTGATCACTCAATAGTCTATTGACAGAACAGACCACAAAAAAGGGGAACTAATAGCTACAATTAGGAAGCTCTGCTGAACCAGAGAGCATAACAGGTTTAGAAAAGATTAGATCTTGTAAAGCCTTGGTGGATGCAACGTAAACCCAGGGGCTTATTTAAATTGCTCTTCAACCCAGGAACACTGATGCAGCTCGCACCCCTTTTAAGAAAAAGGTATAATTTTATCATAGAGGGTTAGATTAAATGGGGTCTTCAGTGTCAAAGGAAAGGGTCATCCGTAATACCAAGCCCTTGGTCAGACATCATTTATCTTTAACTGGACTAATGTGATTGTTTCTTACAAAGCTGTCCTGTTGTTATTCATGGTCTATGGACCCAACCTCGGGCTAGTTCTAAATGACTTGACAGTCACGAAACAGCTACAAGTCATGTAGATCCTCATAATGCAAACCCTTTTGGGAGATTTATGGAATTTACATTTTTAAAATGTCTCCAGAAGTCTGGAACATTTATTTTCTGCCCTTGATTAAAATGGATAAGAAAGAAACACTCTTTTATTCATCGTTTCATAAAAATGAAAGAACCATAATTTGAACAAAAAGGCAATACAATTCAATTAAGAAGTATAACACATTTAAGCATCGTGTGATTAACTCACACCGCACAATGTTAGGACCTTGCCTTCCCTGCCATCATAAAGGATGCACATTTTTAGCCAATTGTGGTAGCTGAACTCTGGGGTCACCATCACAGCTCTAGATGTGTCTAGTCTTTGTCATTGATGCAAGTCATCTACAAAACCTTGTGTTCATTTTAAGCCGTGCTGGTTGAGTCACGTGTTCAAAGAGAGGCTGACGAGGACTAGCAGTCTGTATCTGGGTCTTAGAGCTGGCTCATCTTTTTACAGCGTAACCTTGAGCTCATCCCTTACCCTCCTCAGTAATGAGGCTGGACGACCTCACTCCCAGGGGCCTTCCTTTTCTGGCAGCCGGTGGGAGTGACCACCTGTTGTCTCGGCATTAGAGCAGGAGGGAGGGGCTGGTCGGTTTCCAGACAGAGCTTGCTATAACATCTTCACAAGCATCTTGGGCCATGCCAGGGAGGGTACTTCAGTAATCTCAACATCCGAAGCAAACAGAAGGAAACATGTCAGGAAAAGGACACACAGAACACTAAAGACAAAATATCATCCTGCTTTACTATGCTACAGAAGACACTCAGACGCCTTCATTGGAAGAGACCTTGAGGCCTCCCTGAGTCTGTCCTCCTTGGTCTTACAGGTTGTCACTTACTCCTTTATTGGACCTGTTCTCTGAAAATAATAACTGTCTTTGGAATAAATAATACAAAATATGTGCATATTTATGTTTCTAGTTGAATCCTTTTCTTCCTTAATTAATACTCATTTAAAAAGTGATCCTTTGGGCTGCCCAGGTGGCTCGGTTGGTTAAACATCTGTCTCTGGATCTCAAGCTCAGGTCTTGATCTCAGGGTCCTGAATTCAAGCCCATGTGGGGCATGGAGCCTACTTTAAAAAATACATATTTTTTTTGCATTTTAAATGCTTTATAACCTGGGTCAATATAGGAACCCTTCTGCCCTCACTCCCCTTCCCCCCAAAATCATCAGAAGCAGAGGTCAGGGGTTGACTCCACCAACACCCCATTCTACACAGACCTCCTTCACTCTCCTGCTTACCTTCAGCCAAGTTGTTTCTCCCATTAACTTCTAGTTCCCTGCTAATTGCTTCATTTGAAACATTTATTTTTGCAGTTAGACATAGAATACTTTGGCAATTTAAGCCCAAAGGATCTGTAGGTCTTTCACATTCTCCAAATGGCAGAGATCCAAAAAATGACTTGTGGCTAGAATTCTGCCCCTAGATTTCATACAGACTTCGAGTTGGGACTTTTCCTTCTTACTGGCTTAGCCAGTTAACGATTATCAGAATTATTAGAGAAGGAGATGCATTAAAATTATCGCTTCTAATATATATCCCTTTCCTTTTTCCTTCTCCCTCCCTCTCACCTTTCTTTCCCACTTTCTTCCCTCCCTCCACACGCTGGAGAGGTTAGGTGACATGGGTGATAGGCTGAGTGATGAGCCATGACTTGGTGCGGAGCGGGGTGTCTGGTCTC